AAAGGACACACTGACAAAGAAGATTAATCAGAACTGGCTTTGACAAGCACTGTGGCATTTGGACAAGAACAAACTGGGAGGAGGGTAGAGAAAATGGTGCAGCAGTGAATGAATGGAAACCCAAAATCTCTGTAAATGTTTATGAAAATTAATAAAATATAACTATAGAAAAAAAAAACAAAAAAAAGATGCATTGACTCATTGACTGTAATAGGCTGGAGTATGGCAGACATTTATGAGGATGGCTCAGAAAAATGGCAGGGTTCAGATCCATTGTTATTATTTCATCATCCTTATCTCTACGGAGCACCCTGGTTGAAATTATCAAAAAGACCATTCAAGATAGATTTCAAGATCTATCCTGGAGTACACAGCTTCGGATATGATACTATCCACACGCATAAATAAAGATGTGGTAATGCAATAATTGAACTGTGATGCTAGAGAAGAGTATTGAATGTACCATGGACTGCTAAGAAAACAAAGAGCTTCATCCTGGAGAGGGTTAAACAGGGCTGCTCCTTGGAGGTAAGGACTGGGAGGCTTTGTCTGACATACTTTGCAAGGAGAGACCAGTCCATGAAGAGGGACATCAAGCATGGAAGGGTAAAGGGACAGCGCGGGAGGAGAAAACCCTCTATAAGGTGGATTGATTCAATGACTGGGGTAATTGGAGTAGGTGTGTCGGAGACAGTGAGATTGGCACAGGACAGAGTAGAGTTTAGGGCTGCTGTACATAGGGTCACTAAGAGTTGCAAGCGACTCGATGACACATAACAACAACAATGCAATAATTATTCTAATATACACACCAAAACTAAAACCAAAGAGGAGGATATTGGGGATGTCTACCAACATTTACAGACTGAAATTTACCTAACTGTAGAAGTCATCTCAACTAGAAACTAAATAAAAGGTTAGGAGAGTATTACTTGAATCAAATTAATTAAAAGTTTTAGCATGATTCAAAGGGACTACGTATAAGGTATTACACTCTTTTAAAACTTTGCAAATCTAATTACATTTGAAGTCAATTTTGTTCTAGAAGTTGGAAACAATTTCTATAAGGGAGAAACTGGACATAAGCTTTTGTTTCTAAGGATAGTTAGTATTGGCCTGGGGCACAGGAATTTGGTTGTAAGGGGGAGAAAATGAAACGTTGATCAAATTGAGAAAGGGGTGAAGTATTAACCTGTAGAAAATATTGTTGTTCTTGCTATATACCATCAAGTTGAACTCATTGAGACATGACCTACCAGCAGATTTTCAGAAGCTATAAATTGCATGGGAAGAAATTGCCCATTTTTCTCCCACAGAACAGCTGGTCAATTCAAATTGCTTGCCTCAGTGTTAGTAGCATAAAACTAACCACTTAAATTCCAGAGCTCCCTCGTAGGAAATAATAATGAATAAGAAAAATGCCTTGGTAGAAACTAATCATGAATTTTTTCTTCCTTTGTAACTAAACTGTATTTGTTACAACCTTTGTGGTAGCAAGTGACCTGGCACTGTAAGCTTGGTTACATCTCAGAACCTGCCTTGACAGCAGCCGCCTAGTAGGTGCCTAGTTTTGCTACTCTAAACCTCTTCTTTGGAAAACAAGGCCTGGATGTGGAGTCTCACAGAGCTGCTTCGGTGTAACACACTGGTTTCTAGACGCCTGGTACATGCAAAGTTGGGCACTACAGAGGGTGGGAGGCTTATCTGGATCCTAGAAGATCAAACTCAGGAGCTCTTAACAGAGAGTTTCTTCTCAACATCAAAGTATAGCTCAACATTTCAGTGACCAAAAATTATTTACTAAGGAATCCGTTGAATAGCTAACTTCAGACCAGGGTTAGGGTTGGGTTTTCTAAGACATGTAGAATCTACTATGCAATTCTTAGTTTAATATGTTTTTCCAATATCCTTTTGATATGCCTTCATGTGTCTCAGTTACTCAAAATTTGCTGAAGAGTCTGACAAACAAGAACTTCTTTAAAATGGTCTATGTGGCAACTAAGTAAATGGCACTAGCTTACATACCTGAGTTAGATAAGATATTAATAAGGTGGAACTATCAACAGGACAAGGGTTAATCGTGACAGTGTTGGCTTCCTTGATTAACAGAAATGTTGTTGTTTGTTGTTGTTATGTGCCATCGAGTCACTTGCGACTCATAGCAACCCTATGTACAACAGCCCTAA